GCATTTTCTCGCTTTGGCAATTACAGGATCACATGGGGTTGGAAGGGACCTCTGGAGATCATCCAGTCCAACCCCCTGCCAAAGCAGGTCCACCCAGAGCAGGTCCCACAGGAACGTGTCCAGGTGGGTTTGAATGTCTCCAGAGAAGGAGACCCCACCACCTCCCTGGGCAGCCTCTGCCAGGGCTCTGCCACCCTCACAGCAAAGAAGTTCCTCCTCATGTTTGGGTGGAACTTCTTATGTTCAAGTTTGTGCCCATTTCCTCTTGTCCTGTCCCTGGGCACCACTGAAAAAAGACTGACCCCATCCTCCTGACACCCTCCCTTTAAGTGTTTATGGGCATTGATCAGATCCCCCCTCAATCTTTTCCAGGCTAAAAATATCCAAGTCTGTGATTCTGTCATTGCCAAAGTGAGAACACACTGTGTGATGTTCTCAACGTAACCACGGCGAGCAACAAGCCTGGTGGTGCTCTGCACTTCAGGGAACCACAGCCCTTCACAGGTGATGGAGGAGCTACTCTGGTGGGGACCCATCCTTTAAATATTTATAGGTGTTGATCAGATCCCCCCTCAGTCTTCCCTTCTTCAGACTAAAAAGCCCCAAGTCCCTCAGCCTCTCCTCATAAGGGAGATGCTCCAGGCCCCTCATCATCTCTGTAGCCTCTGCTGTCCCCTCTCCAGCAGTTCCCTGTCCTTCTGGAACTGGGGAGCCCAGAACTGGACACAGTGCTCCAAAATTACCAAAAGCCCATTCTCCTCAAAGTTATCCTTCCCCCAGCTATCAGAGACTCGGAAAGAATATTGGGTTAAAATTTTATTTACATCCATGAGAGAAAAAAAAATCAATAAATTACTGCAAGGCAAGGTGCTGGAACGTTCCAGAGAGCTGAGAGAGCAGCGAATGGGTGAACTCGTGTTCTCTCAGGCTGGGCCTGCGCCTTCCAGAAAAGAAGCTGCCAGAGGTTTTATTGGAGGGATGTGTAAATGGGCAAGGTGATTATGGCAGATAAAGCCCCGACCGGAGCTCGCTGGCCCGGGCACAAAGAGCACTGAGATCTGGAAAGCGTGGGGAGAACAGAGGCAGCCCGGCCACGTGGGAGGCCTTCCCGGGCGGCCAGAATGGCTCACTGAACAAAGAGGAGCTAAACTCCTGGAAATAAAGGCTTGGCAACAGAATAAAAAAAAAAAAAGAAAAAAAAAAGAAAAAAAAAACAACCTTAAGCTGTAAAAAAGAAAATGGAAAGGCTCAAAAAAAAAAAAAAAAAAAAGAAAAAAAAAAGAAAAAAAAAACAACCTTAAGCTGTAAAAAAGAAAATGGAAAGGCTCACCCTGTGATTTCTGGGAACTGACCGTCAAATTAAAGGAATTTCTAAACCTGTACTGCAAACCTATTTCAAGAACTTTTCTCTGTTGCATTTAAGCCATTGTGTTTGGTTACAGGAGCGGAAGCGTTAAAAGAAATTTCCATCATGCAAAACGTTCAAAGCTATTTTAGTTTTGTAACTTCCTCTTCAAGAAGTGATTGTTATGGGGAAGGGGAACTTATAATTAATGTAGATGGAGTTGTCTCAGGAAACAGTGAGCTCGGCTGGAAAAAGAGCTTGTTTCACACTTCTCCAGCTATTGCCTGTCTTCAAAAAACATATATTGAGGGGCCCTAATAGTTTGAAATAATAGTTTTCACAGCATTTCTTCTGTGCGCATGCTATTCTTAATTTGAGCAAAAGAGATATTCTTTGAGTAGCTGTTTGATACTTTAGTCTATGCTTTATGTAAATAAATTCTATATTTATACATGAGCTGGGATCGGTAATTTGCCCATGATACAGCAATGGATTATGCTGCCATGGAATTAAAAAGCAAACAGTTTGGTCATGAGTTAGCTTCATTGCAAGCCCTAAATTAAATTAAATTAGATTAGGGGTGATTGCCTTTCCCTAGCCAGGATTAAAATGTTAGCTGCTTTTGAGATCAGGAAAACATTCCAGGACAAAATCGCAGGAAACTGAAGGATGCCTGTGATTTAATTATGCATCTTGTGATATTTCATTTTTTTCCCACTGCTCAGTCACCAGAGTCATGTGATTCTGAGAAGCTGAGCTTTTTCTTTAAAAACTAAATTATTGGTCCTTAAAATTGGAGAGAAAAAAAAAAAAAAAAGAAAAAAAGGAAGTAAGTTCATTAAGTTCCTGAGTGTTAAAAGAAATCAGAAAGAAAAAAGACGAAATATTTTTGAAGAATTGGTGTGTTCCTCTGCAGGTTTTGAAAAGCTGTGCTTGGTAATACCAGCCATTTCTTCTTTCTTTAGCAGCGGTAAGCAACTCGTACTGACAAGGGCCTGTGTAGTTCGCGGGGATAATTTTTAAACCATTTTGCACCACTTGGTCCTTAGAGGAAAGCCCCAAACAAATGAAGATCAGGCAGAAGAGCCCCAGCATCTGCCAGAGCAGAACCCCGAGCCTCCTCCATCCCCAGCGCGGCAGACGGCGAGCGGCACACGGGCCAGGTACAGCTGGACCTGGTGCCTCCTGGCAATGACTGCTGTTTGCACTGCTGACAACTCAATGGCAACTGCCCTCAGTCAACAAGCAGCGTTAATTTTTTTTGGTTTGTTTTTTTCCCCGCAGATTTCCCAGCCAGGCTGTCCCGAGGGCACTGGTGAGACCCCACCTCGAGTACTGTGTCCAGTTTTGGGCCCCTCACCACAAGAGGGACATTGAGGTGCTGGAGCGGGTCCAGAGAAGGGCAACGAAGCTGGTGAGGGGTCTGGAGCACAAGTCTTACGAGGAGAGGCTGAGGGAGCTGGGGTTGTTCAGCCTGGAGAAGAGGAGGCTGAGGGGAGACCTTCTCGCTCTGTACAAGTACCTGAAAGGAGGGTGTAGAGAGACGGGGGTCGGTCTCTTCTTCCAAGCTACAGACGATAGGACAAGGGGTAATGGCTTCAAGTTACGCCAGGGGAAGTTCAGGTTGGATATTAGGAAACATTTCTTTACTGAAAGGGTTGTCAGGCATTGGAATGGACTGCCCAGGGAGGTGGTGGAGTCACCATCCCTGGAGGTATTTAAGAAACGTGTAGACATGGTTCTTCAGGGCATGCTCTAGTGCCCAAGATTACTGGTTTGTGGTGGGGTACTGTGTGGGTGGGTGATGGGTTTTGGTTTGGTGGTTGTTGTTGTGTGTTTAGGTGGTGGGTGGTGGTTTGTGTTTTTTGTGGGTTGTTTTTTTTTGGTTGGTTTGTTTTTGTTTGGTTTTTTTTTTTTTTTTTGTGGTTGGACTCGATGATCTCTGAGGTCCCTTCCAACCACTACGATTCTGAGGGAGGAGGATGCGCGGGGCAGGGCTGTCACACCTACACACCATCCCCAGAAGTACCAGGTACTGCCAGGTCTGCGCCTCCAGAATGAAACCCGGGTGATGACCACCAGACATTTGAGGTGGTAGCAACCACTGCGTTGGCTCAGGGTAACCTCGACACCTCTCTACAACCACATCCAAGAGGAAAAATATAAGAAATAGGGGATACAGCCAGTTAGTGTCACCCCTCAGCACTGTGAAATCTCTGAGGTACTGGTGATCTCCAGACTGTCGTGTTAAAACACTTCAGGGATTTAACACTTAAAACACTAAGGAATTCTTCTTCCAGGAATTCCACACTTTGGCTGAGCAACGTGTGAAAAAAAAACCCCAAAACAATAATTTTGTTTGGGTTAAATCTCTGATAATTTCACCACATGAGCCTTAAAGTGTGAAAATAGTGACTAACACTCATTTATCGTCCTCATACCAGTCATCAGTTTAAATATCTTTGTCTTAATGCTTCTCAGCTTATGAGCTCTTGCCTATTTAATTTCTGTACACCCGGAAGCAATTCTCAAAAAGGTTGAAAAAAAAAATTTAGAAACTCAGCTTATAAAAAAAACCCCAATTTTCCCAGTATCTGTCCTTGGGGCAATTTTTTCATTGTCCTTGGTAATTAATTTGCCAGTACTACATGCCACATTTCTAACAAGATCTTTTTTTGCACAGACTCAAAATCCATTAACGGGGAGCTGACTATTTTTCACCTGTGGCTGAATAAAAGCATTGAATCAGAACAACAAAAATTATGTTTTGTAAAGGAAAAAAAATATTATAGGAGATTGTATCTTTTACTTGCAGTAGGGAAAAAAAAAAAAGCAAAGAAATATCACTTCAAGGTTTTGTCTAATTTGAAGGAACTATTTATAGGTGCTGCATATTATGTTAATTTGGCTTCTCCTGACATACAAAGGCTTCCTTTGAGAGTTTTTATAGTAAAAGAAGGAAGAAAGCAAGAAAGCAAGGGGCTCTCACAAACAGAGCTATGATAAAAGCTGCTGTCATTATAACAGATCATCAGAAAGAGAGAAGGAAATGGTGAGATGCCATTCATCACTTTGAGGAATGCTCACAAACAGCTCCTGGTTACATAGGACGAGCTACAATATTTATGAAGATGGATATGTTATCAGAAGAACGCAATTTTTCCTCTTTGTGGGCTGTTTACAAACTCATCCCAATTTCTGCCAGTGTATTTGTTACTTGCGAGAATTCGTTCAAATACCTTACTCAAAACAGTAAGAAAAAATTCACTTCTATTTGAGGATAAATTTCACTTACCTGAAATGCTGTTGAGTTTGGTTTTTATTTTTTGCATAAATGAGATGTGAAGTTTTCAGCTTGTGGACTGTATGCAAACAGGCCATTTAAAGTGGGTTATTTTCATTGTATTGAGGTCATTGATCATACTATTTTTGTACTGCGGGGCTGGATGCATGAAAAACAAGCTTTTTGATGTGGGAAAACAGGCTAGAACTGATGAACTGTTGACAATGAATACAAATAATAGATAGCAAACAGAAAGGACCTGTGCATTTTAGAATTTCGGCTTATGTTGTATTTTTGATGGTTTAAAGGGGATAGTAGCACCCTGGCCACCTTCACTGATTGTTTTACTCATAAAACTCCATTTTTTTTCAGGAAGAGAAGAAGAAAATCTTTACAAATGAATGTCTGCAAAGAGCAAACATGATATGGAGAGAGAATAAATGTCACGTCGGAAATTATGTGTTCATGGACGCTGCTTTGTGGCCAAGTTGTTTTCACTCCCACTGCAGCCAGTGAGATGGTTAACCCTCTGCGTGGTGAGACAGTCCCCTCACAATGTAGAGATCCTAGAGAAATGGAGCAGCTTCATTTAAAAAAGCATTTAAAAACACATTAGAAATAATTCACTTGGCGGGCTATGAAGATGATGAGGGGCCTGGAGCACCTGTCTTAGGAGGAGAGGCTGAGGGACTTGGGGCTTTTTAGCCTGGAGAAGAGAAGACTGAGGGGGGATCTGATCAGTGCTTATAAATACTTCAAGGGAGGGTGTCAAGAGGACGAGGCTGGTCTTTTTTCAGTGGTGCCCAGGGACAGGACAAGAGGAAATGGGCACAAACTTGAACATTGAAGAAGTTCCACCTCAACATGAGGAGGAACTTCTTTGCTGTGAGGGTGGCAGAGCCCTGGCAGAGGCTGCCCAGGGGGGTGGTGGAGTCTCCTTCTCTGGAGACATTCAAACCCACCTGGACATGTTCTTGTGCAACCTGCTCTGGTGGACCACCCAGATTGGTCTGGTTGCATCAATTTCCCCTCTAGCAGGGGGTTGGACTAGATGATCTCCAGAGGTCCCTTCCAACCCCATAGCATTCTGTGATTCTAATTCGTATCAAGATGTTTTCCCCCTAGTCTGTACTAGCAGCATCAAACAGACACTCAAAGTCCCAAAGAGCATCTCACATCCTAGGCTTATATGACAGCGGTGTTGGCCACCATGGAGCTCTTCGGCTGGTGTTGATGTGGAAGGGGAGGGAGGCAGAAGGTGGCAGGACAGCCACATGTGAAGTCCATCCACCAGCTGCTGGGGTAGCCTGGGAGCACCATGGAGGGTTGGCTGGTGTGAGCAGGCACACAGTGCTGCCCCAGGGACCACACAAACCACAGGGGCACTGACAAAGTTTTCCAGTATTAATTGTCTGCACTCCAAAACCATCAAGCACATCACGCTTTGTCTATTGCCCACGTAACATGGACGTGTAAGTTCAGAGCTGTGGCTCAGAAGAGCTGATGCCTGTGCAGGTGCTGCTGGCCAGGGTGGCTCTGCCAGCTGGCACAGGGGTTTTCCTGAGGTAGGGACTGTCTGGTGGTGTCTTAAAATCATCCCAGATTTATGCGCTGAATGAACTCCCACCATCAGATCACAGCTTGGGCCAGGAAATCTCCTGTGTTTAGGACTGGCTGTAAGGGTGTATGTAAAGCAGTCTCACCATCCCTTTTAGTTCTCCCTCACAGGTAATTAGTGACAGAACGAGAGGGAATGGCTTCAAGCTCCAACAGAGGAGGTTTAGATTGAACATTAGGAAGGAATTTTTCACCCAAAGAGTGGTCGGGCATTGGAACAGGCTGCCCAGGGAGGGGGTGGAGTCACCGTCCCTGGATGTGTTTAAGGGCCGTTTAGATGCAGTGCTGAGGGACATGGTGTAGGGGAGGACTTTGTAGAGTAGGGGAGATGGTTGGACTCGATGATCCCAAGGGTCTCTTCCAACCTCAATGATTCTATGATTCTGTGATTCTATGATTCTCCTAGCACTAGTCTGCAGTCAGGCTGGAGACATGTGAAATCAGGGACCTCGACATTTTTCAGATCAAGGGGAGGAAGTAATTGGTAGCTGCCAGTTCAACAACATAGAATCATATAACCATTTAGGTTGGAAAAGGCCTTTAAGATCATTGAGTCCAACTATTAACCTAACGCTGCTAAGTCCACCACTAAGCCATGTCCCTCAGAGTCACGTCTACACGTCTTTCAAATACTGCCGGGATGGGGACTCAACCCCTTCCCTGGGCAGCCTGGTCCAGTGCTGATAACCCTCTCAGTGATGAAATTTCTCCTAATATCCACTCTAAACCCCTGGTGCAACTTGAAGCCGTTTCATCTTGTCATAACCCATGTTAGCCCCTTCCCTGGGCAGCCTGGTCCAGTGCTGATAACCCTCTCAGTGACGAAATTTCTCCTAATATCCACTCTAAACCCCTGGTGCAACTTGAAGCCGTTTCATCTTGTCATAACACATGTTATTGGAAGAAGAGACCAACCCCTCCCGGGTACACTCTCCTTTCAGGGAGTTGGAGAGAGTGAGAAGGTCTCCCCTCAGCCTCCTTTTCTCCAGGCTGAACACCCCCAGCTCCCTCAGCCTCTCCTCATGAGACTTGTGCTCTAGACCCTTAACCAGATTCATTGCCTGTTGTTGCCTTGAAACATCACCATCACGCTCATCTCCTTTGATCTGGCAGCTGATACCAAGATTCCAGTGTCAAAATTAACCCTCTGGACACATGCTTAATCCAGCATGTTTTCTTGTTTTATCACCCCATTTCGTCAAGGCCAGAGGCACAGAGCAGCCTCATCTCCTGCACTTAGTTATTTCCATAAGTCTCAAGCATAGAAATAATCTTTTACTTCACGAGTCATCGTAAGGTGCCCAAACAGTGTCACCTGCAGTTGAACAAGAGGAGGAGAAAGCAAAAGCCCCAGCTCCTGTGATGAAACATCCTGGTCTACAGACACTGCTCCTCGGCTTTGTCCCATGCAGGCAGGTCCATAGGTAACTCTGCCAGGTTCTTCCTGTGACAGTCTCTGCCCTGACGTCAGAGGAAAGATGGATTTTCTGTTTCATTAAGTTTAGGAAAGTTTCCACCCACCACCCTCCATCATGTGCCTTGGAAGCTGGCTCTTAACGCCCAATGAAACATTTCTATGTCTGGGTATGATTGCAGCTTTCGTGTTATATGTAACAACTTTTTCCTTATCAAGACTTTAACTCACATTACAGATTTGTTTTATCTATTTAATAATAGAATACTATCTAAAGAATTTCTCAGTGAAATTTGAAATTCTTATATAAAGGCTGCAGGCTTTAATCCTGAGAGCCCAAGAAAGTGGCTCAGACACCAACTTCAATAAGTATTTTGGAACTAACAGGTCTTAGTACATCCCCTCCCATTATAACAGCTTCTCAAGGTTTAAAGAGTTACCCAAGCTTGGATTAGTTGCTGAAAATTAATTCAGATTTAAAAAGGGACACTTTTTTCCTGCAATAGGACCTCCCTTTAATTTTTATTCCTGCATTTCTCAGGACAGGGGGTGGTGCTGTTTAAACAGGGTTAATTCTGCTAGGACAATGGATTCATTGACATGCTTCTATGCGACTGTCTTTACCAGACTTTGTCACTGAGCCACTCTGAATTTTCAGTTGATGCAACCAGATAGAACTGAATTGGAAAAAGCTGACATTTCCAAACGTGTCCAAGTAGGAAATGATTCAGTGGTTCCAAGGAGCAGAGCCAACTGTGAAAGACCATTTGGAACATGATATATCTGGAGCCCTACGCCACCCTTTTGTTTTATGAGCTTCTAATCTTTCTATTTTAATGTGTGGTGCTTTCCTTTTCCATAGGAAGATTCTGATCACGTGCTGCTTTCTTTTGCATCTGCTGGGCAGAATTTGCAGCGTAACTTTCTAGGGAACTCCTCAGAAGGGCAGCCAGTGGTCCCTGCCCTCTGCAAACCCCCAGCAGCCCAGGACAAGCTAGCAATAGATGGCAAGGCTTACATCTAAGAGAAGCCAGTCAGCAAGCGAGCTGTTGTCATTTTGATGATTAGACTTTGACCTTGGATTCAAGATACTAATTTGCATTTGTCACAGAAGCTGAGGTACGCGAGCCGCGCAGGCTCACTTTATAACAGCCTATTTTGCAGCTTTATCGTATGCCCTGGGAGAACAGTCAAAAGCTTGTTTTACCTAATAAGGAAACTGCTGAGGCACATGAATAACCGTGCTGTTTGCCAATACATTTCACACCGATTAATTTGTCAGTTTTATGAAACAAGCTCCGGTTATCTTTGAGTTGGATTCACTGAACCAGTGCTTGACTTTAAACAGAAAACTACTGATCACAGAATCACAGAATGCTATGGGGTTGGAAGGGACCTCTGGAGATCATCCAGACCAACCCCCTGCCAAAGCAGGTCCACCCAGAGCAGGTCCCACAGGAACGTGTCCAGGTGGGTTTGAATGTCTCCAGAGAAGGAGACTCCACCACCTCCCTGGGCAGCCTCTGCCAGGGCTCTGCCACCCTCACAGCAAAGAAGTTCCTCCTCATGTTGAGGTGGAACTTCTTATGTTCAAGTTTGTGCCTGTTCCATCTTGTCCTGTCCCTGGGCACCACTGAACAAAGACCGGCCCCATCCTCCTGACACCCACCCTTTAAGTATTTAGTATGAGGAAGAGGAGGCTGAGGGGAGACCTCATCACTCTCTACAACTTCGTGAAAGGACACTGTAGAGAGGTTGGTGCTGGTCTCTTCTCACAGGTAATTAGTGACAGAACGAGAGGGAATGGCTTCAAGCTCCAACAGGGGAGGTTTAGATTGAACATTAGGAAAGAATTTTTCACCGAAAGAGTGGTCGGGCATTGGAACAGGCTGCCCAGGGAGGGGGTGGAGTCACCATCCCTGGCTGTGTTTAAGGGCCGTTTAGATGCAGTGCTGAGGGACATGGTGTAGGGGAGGACTTTGTAGAGTAGGGGAGATGGTTGGACTCCATGATCCCAAGGGTCTCTTCCAACCTAGACCATTCTATGATTCTATGATTTACAAGCATTGATCATATCCCCCTCAGCCTTCTCTTCTCCAGACTATAAAGACCCAAGTCCCTCAGCCTCTCCTTGTAAGAAAGATGCTCCAGGCCCCTCATCATCTTTGTAGCCCTTTGCTGTCCCCCCTCCCTGTCCTTCTGGAACTGGGGAGCCCAGAACTGGTCCCAGTGCTCCAGATGGGGCCTCCCCAGGGCAGAGCAGAGGGGCAGGATGACCTCCCTCCACCTGCTGCTCACACTCTTCTTGATGCCCCCCAAGGATGCCATTGGCCTTCTTGGCCACAAGAGCACATTGCTGGCTCATGGCGCTGGGCAGACGTGCACAGGCACTCCAAAGGCTCCAGGCTCCCATCATCATTGATCGATACTGTCCTCTTCAGTCTCCCTCTTGTCCCCCTGACTTGCTTCTGGCTATATAGAACTAGCGACTTCCTTTGTAACACAATTATGTTTTCCTTTGATACTCACGACATTTTCATTTAAGAACTTATGTATCTGCCCTGCAGAAGTTTGAGTTTCATAAAACAAAAAAATGA